TGCCCCGGCTCTGGCCCGCCCCCGGCCTCCCAGAATCTTCTAAATGGTCCCCCACCCTCTGATCTCTCTCCCTTCCACCCATCCTACCTGCTGCTCCCAGATTAATCTTGCCAATATACAACTTGGACCAAGTCACCTCTCCTGCAGTTGTTGAGTCTTCCACTAGATCCTGGCCCTTCCCACCGATTTCCAGCCCCCACTATCCTGTGTGTCCATGAGTATGTCATGCCTTGTACACCACCCTGGAGTCTAATATAGGCCTTAGCCCATGGTGGAGCTGCAGCACTGGGAGGATGCTGTGGGCAGTAAGGCAAATGCGTGGGATTTACAGTCATACCCTACCAAAGTCTGTGAGTTAGAACAAAATAGAAATCAATGTATGAGACTTAAGGTTTAGTGTACTTTAGATTTTGCTTTTTTAAAAAGTGACTTTCTAAGCTGTGTGCTCAGTGTTGTTTTTTAAAAAAAATTTCCTGGTTTCAAAAAAAGTGTCTAGCACACAAGTTTTCTCTCAGTCTTGCCTCCCACAATTTCCCCTGATTAGACTTGAAGTTCTAGGGATGAGACAGCTACTTTGCCAAACAACTCCTCTGTGCTGGCACTTGACTACACAGTCATTTAATTCTCCCTGCAACCACAGGAGGTGCCCATTATCCTGCACTTTCACAGCTAAGGAACCCAGCCTATAGAGAATTTTTTTTTAGTTAGAGTCTCACTCTATCGCCCAGGCTGGAGGGCAGTGGCACACTCACAACCACCCCAGCATCAACCTGCTGGGCTCAGGCGATCCTTCTACCTCAGCCTTCTGAGTAGCTGGAACTATAGGTGAGCGCTACCATGCCTGGCTAATTTTTGATTTATTGTAGAGATGAGGTCTTGCCAAGTTGCCTGGGCTGGTCTCAAACCTGTGGGCTCAAGCAATTCACTAGCCTCGGCCTCCTAAAGTGCTGGGATTATAGGCTGAGCCACTAAGACCAACCAGCTTTTAGGGAATTTAAATAACAAGGCTAAATTATCACTGCCTACAGATGACAGGTCAGTATTTAATTTCAGCTGTCTGATCCTCCTTTCATGCTGCCTCTTGTAGGCCAAATTTGCAAGCCCAAACTATAGAGGGTCCCACTGTGCTTCTGCCTCCACTGGTAGCCGCCTGAGCCCACCCTGAATTCCTGCTCCTCTCTTGTGTGATAGGGTTACTCAAGTTGATCAGCTATGGTCCCTCAGAGAGGCCTTCCATTCACAACTTTCTCCTATGGCACAATACCACCATCACTAAAGCTATTGCTGCTGTCATTACTGATATTACTACTCCTCCCTCCAACACCACCTTTGGCTAATGTTGATGGGTTCTATCTCTGGGTCAGGCACATCTAAGGACTCTACAAACTTTATTATTGGGTCTTCACAGTATGCTTGCAGAGGGTAGAGGATGATAAAGCATTTCAATTAAAACTGTTGATTGGTTGGATTATTTTTCTTGCAAGCATTTGACTTCATATAAATAGAAGCTAGCATATTTGTTTCTGGTTTTGCCATATCTGTTATCTAAAAGTTTACTTGCAGCTTTCCCTTATGTCTAAGTCAGCTAACAAAATACCATAAACAGGGGGGTTTAAAGAACATAAATTCATTTTTCACAGTTCTGCATGATGGGAAGTCCAAGATCAAGGTGCTGGCAGATTCAGAACCTAGTGAGAGTCTGCTTTCTGGTTTCCAGATGGCTTTCTTCTTGCCAAAAGAAAGCTAGTTAACTCTTCTTGAAAGGCCCCTACTTCCATTCATGAGGGCTCTACCCTAATGACCCAATAACTTCCCAAAAGCTCTATCTCCAAATATTACCTCATGAGATTAAGGTTTCCCTTAAGTTTTTTCTATTCATTCTATTCCACCTTGTATTAGTGGATTTTCCCTAAACCTATGGAGACCACATGTCTCCATTTACCTGGAATAATCCAATTTGTAACTGATGTTCTTACATGGTTAACAGTGTCTTCTTTTATTCACAAAAGTGTTTATTCACTTTACCTAAATCCACCATTTCAGCTGAGGAGAAAGAGCCAATGCTTTTGCAAGGCTGCATGGCTTACTGAAGGCTTTAACCCCAACTGCTGTCAGAAAACCATGTCTGGCAGGCATCTTTGCAGCAGTCATGGGTCCCACCTGCTTTCTTCTCCTGGCCCAGGTGGGGTCTTTGTTCACTTGAGTGATATTGGGTGCATATGCACAGGGGCTACTTCCACACCTAGAAGGTTGTACCAGCCCAGAAGTGGGCTATAATTTCTCTTCACAGGATGAAGAAGAAAATGATGTGACTTGCAATCTATACTAAGGAAAATAAATAGCCAAAGAAACACGAGGGCAGGGAAACTTTTATAACCACATCAAGATTAATATCCCTGCTGTAGTAAAGCCTTCTTTAGAACACATTCATCATGAACAACGGTGTGCAGGCTCAGTCATGGGGTGATGACTGTATAGAACTTGATTCAATGATTGCAACTTGGCCAGGCATTAAGAAGGTTCCTGTGAGCCTGGCTCAGTGGCTCAGTCTGTAATCCTGCGCCTTTGGGAGGCTGAGGTGAGTGGATTGCCTGAGCCCACGGGTTCAAGACCCGCCTGGGCAACTTG